AATTCAACCAATCCTTGACAATTTTGTACAATCATCGACAACGAAACATGCGTAATGTTCAAGCATCCGATTGTGGACACTTTGCACAGATTTGGACAATGTCGGGACAGCTCGGATATACCCACGTCAGTAATTTGATTACAATTCATTATTGTGAATTTTCGAAGATTAATGTTTCTATATTTAGCCAATGTGGACACTGAGATGTCAGTTAAATTTGTGCAAGTTGGAAGTTCTATAGATTCTAACTGATGACAGTATTGGGCTATGGGCAAAAATGAATCATCAAACAAACCACGAGCAAAATTTAATTCAATGTGTCGTAAATGATGTTGCGAATGCACCCATAATTTAGTAAAATGGTCAAACCCTCGATAAGAGCTTATTCGTAAACTGATTGATTCCAACGGTGGAAATTCAGATGCTATATTCATGGCAGTTTCAATGCTAATATACGGAAATTCTAAAGATAAAGATTTTAATTTTGGACAACCGGACATAAGAATTGTGAATCCAGACCCTGTTATGGTACTGCATGTGAAGGTTTGTAAGTTTGGAAACGAAACGACAATTATGGAAGCTAAAATATTAGTTACTAAACTTGAGGCAATTAACAATGTGGTCAACATGGGACATTGTTTCCCTATGTCTCGTAATATATCATGCTGCATCCATTCGGATTTCCAGTTGTTTAGTTCTAGATATCGAAGTTTTGAACAATTTCCATTACGAATTGGCTGTAGTGCACGACTTAAAGTTGATAGATTTTGCCCAGAAATTACTGAAGAAATCAAATCAGGACTATGTTCTAAAAACATAGAAATTGTATCAGCTGAGAATGATCGAGTGAAGGTGATATGCTTAATGTTGTTGCATCGTTCAGCAATTAGTTTAATATCAACAGCAGGAATTGAAATCTCGACATGAAATGGGCTGTATGAAGAAAATATTAGATATTGGATCATTCGATTATATTCGAATGAAGTAGTTGGATTTCTTAATGTTCGTATGAATTTTTGGAACACGCTTGGAGATTTCCAAATTGGTTTTTTCCATAATTTACCAACAATTACCTACGCATTATATGGTTACCGAAAATTATATATTGTAAAAATGACAAGATCGATTAAAATTTAAGCATACCGAGGTCCAATAAGAATTTACAAGAAGCCCATTAAACATATCATCCTGGTACTCAAAATTATCAAAAATTATATGTAGTAAATCGATGTTTAAAAGTACGGATTGCGTCATTGGATTGTAGAACCGATTTTTGTTTTTTTTTCCTTTGTTTTTGTTTTTTTAAAAAAAAAGAAATACAAACCTATATTTAATGTTCCTATTTCTATTTATATATATCGACAATCGAGCTTTACGCCTTATCACGAACTTTAATAAAGCAATTCACACAATAAGCTATTATACGCACAAGACCTACTTTTTGTAGTCGATTTAATGTTATATAGATCATTAACTAGTTAGATATATATAGTTAAATTTTAAAAATTCAAAATATATAAGTTACTAAATAATGCAATAGTAATCGAACTTGTTTATACGTAGGCAATGACATTTGATTGATAGTATATATTTAAGTAATTGTTGGCTAAAATAGGGATATTTAATCATGTGTTTCCAGATGACATCTAGTTTTAATGCAATTCAGATTATCTTGCACTCTTTTTGAACTTAGTATACTATGTTTCGAGCTGTGCCATCGAGAAGGCGACGTGTAAAGCGTTTATGGTAAGGAAAACAGCAGGCCAGGCTCCATGAACAAAGGTAGCACTTTAACTGATAGTGAGCGAACAATTGAAACAGTTAATAAAGAGTTTTATATTACGTATAGCAATAAAAATAGCATATATAAAAATAATACAGTATATGTAATTTTTTTATTATATATTTGATATATTATATGTGTGTGAGAATGTCTCACAAATTTAGCCAAGACACATTCATGGACTTTAAATGATCCTTTGCTTCTTTTAATTGTTTTTAATGTTGTCTGTACCTAAACCTCATTATCGAATACATATACATTTACTAGTATACAATTTATTAGTTGGTAAGTGTACAATAATAAAACTATATAATTATGAATATTTTTATAGTAATCAATCAAGAGCCTACGTACGTACGTACAGTACGTACGCACTCTTATAAGAATTTTTGGTTATCACACTTGTTTACAATCAGCTGTCAATTTTTACTCGTGTTATCGCTCCCCATTGTTTTATTTGACAATAAACAATCATTTTGAGAAAGAACAAAATGACAATGATTTTTGCAAAAAAAGAAGAAAATTGGCGTTTCTAAATACAATGAGATCTAAAAATATATTGTTATTGAGCTACGCCATTAAACTTTAATTTAAATGAAAATGCTTGTTGTATTTGCTACTTTACAAAACAGAATAAGCTTTTTATCAAGCGTCACACATAACTTCCTTACAGCTAAATAATGTAATCATTGCACTGGTAAAGAATTAAGTTTGTACATCGATAGTCGACGTACGTACGTACATGCTTCTTAGGGTATTTTGTCAAACTCACGGATGGATTGAATCGATCATTAATATATAAAATAATCAATTAGTGCATATATATAGTGAGTTCATTATATACAAATAGCCCCATCAAGCAAAGCCCGGAGAAAAATTCCCCGGGCGCCATTAAAATCTCTATCAATCACGACTCAACATTCAT